CGAAGGTCAAAATTATACTAGCGTGCGCAAAAATAGTTTCCATTCTAATAAATCCACCATTAAATTTAATAATGGATAAACATGCAGTTAATTCTAATACTTTCTTTGACACAAATACACTTTTAAGGCACTTTTTCCAAGCAACACTACAATTTGTAATTTTACAAACTTTAATTTTACAAGATAAAAATTGTTGTTTTAAAGTATAGATTTTAAATAAATTTTAAATTTTTTTTTAAACTTAAGGTGGTTCTTCACATAAAATGCTAACTTTTGTTAGAAATATGTTTTTGATTTAAATTTTTCACCAAAAATGTAGTTCTATAAACTATTTACAAAAATCAACTTAAAAAAAAAATGTCTCGATTACCCAGTTATTTAAAAAATGAATAAAAAACTAGCAATTTTTGTGACAAGCTAGCAATCAAAATTTTTATCATATCAAGCTAAAAATTTGTGTATATACTAATGAGGTATATTATTCCGGATAAATGAAACATATTTTATTATTTATAGTATATAAAAGGTTACAAAATTTGAAACAAACATAGAAAAATTGCTTTACGAATGTCCGACAATTTTTTTCATAAAAAAGTCTCATAAAAGTACTTTCCTTATTTTGTTTTAAATATCCTTCTCTCATCCGGATCCGTTTTAATTATGTGAAAAATCAAAAAAAAAAAAAAAATTAGGTCAAAAGCCTAACAAGTTTAAAGTTATCATATTTTAAAGATTTGAATTCGAGGCAAAACTTAATTCTGAGGAAACAACAAATATATAAATCAAAAGAATAAAACCATAATAAAAAGTTCATATAAACATATCAAAACCCTCTAGGAATATATTGTGAACTTTTTCTTTATTATCTTTGTCTAACTAAGTCTTTTTAATTGTTCTTAGCTATTTTTTTCTCTTTTTGAAACGTTTGAAACGCTTCTTTATTCTTTTTATTAAGTTTCATAGACGTAACACATCCTGTTAGTTTGAATTTATTTAGTACAAATAGGATTCCATTAGGACCATCATTAAATTCAATAACAGATGATTTAACTGCAGACTTTAAGAACCCTCTGCCCACAAAAATATTTTTTGGGCAGCGTCTCCAAATAATCTGGTTAAGTGTCTTGTTGGAGTTTTAGTAAATCATCTGAATATACATCACTAAAAGTTGGTTTTAAAATTATGAAGACTGAAACAGAAATATTTACTTGCTCTACATAAGTATTTTCACCATGTCTAAATGATAATGATATTTGCACCAAGTCTCAGTGTCTCTTGGGGACATTCGGTGGCGACATTCCTTGTCGTCAAAATCTGTACATCGAAACAAAACCGATTATTTTATTGCTAGGCTATAGAAGTTTTGCAAAGTTTGATAGGCTATAGAAGTTCTGCAAAAATTGATCAAAGATTTAGTTAACTTTCTTTTTTCATGTAGTGGTGTGCTTGTTCCTTTATAAGTTTATACCTTACAAAATCTAGTGTCCATTTTCTTCTGTACAAATTGTATAAATTTTGCATTAAAAAAATGTTATCAGGAATTTTAAGAATTTAGTTATAATCTATAAAATTGCTGCAAAGTAAAGTTTTCAAAAATTTGTGTTAGAGGGTGTCGTCAACAAGACCACATTAAAATGGTAATTTTCCTTTGCACTTCAAGCATCTATGCAAAAACTATGACTCTCAAACTTGTGATCAATTAACTTAAATAAGATACGTACTTAATGATATTATTCATGATTTTTTGTAAATTGGTATATAAATTGTTTTTTATAAAAAATAATTAAACAGTTCTTTACTAAATAGGATAATGTCAGTCTCTCTGGTTAAGGCTATGAACTTAATTAATGAAACAACTTTTAAAAACTATGAATAACTGTGTTTTTATAAAAATCTGTGAAAGTGATACCAATTATGATTTTAATAACCCAGCAATTGTTTTAATTTAGATTTGCAGTGAATCTTTTATAAACATTTTGAGCGGCATATTGGAGTTTTGCTCATAGGTTACTTAAGGGATTCGATAAAAGTGGCTAGCCAGTAACTCTTTCACATCTAATTAAAAAGGTAGTTGTTTGCTATCTAATATGGCGGCTGCCACTAATAGTCTACTATGTAACTAATAATCTTTTTTACAGTGGAAAAACAGTAAGAAACTCTCAAAATGCTTTTAAAAGTGTACTAAAATTCCGCTGTAAAATGTTTGCTGCGAAGGTTGTTTAAAACAACATTTTGCTGTGTCTATTTTTTTCATAAAGTCAAAATTAACTTAAAAATACTTAAAAAATGTATACTTTGATTTAAAAAAATACGTAAGAGGATTGTTGTAAAGTTTTTATTCTGAAATATTCAAAAATAGTGTTATTTGTGTATTCAAAATGAGCGCATTTGTTAACTATAAACGTATTAAAAGCTTGATTTATTTATTTAAAGATTGTTTTCATAAAGGTTCAATATATAGTTTTATATTCTGTAATAAAAAATCTCCCCTGTTTTAATTGATTGTCTGTTTATTATTATTTGCATCAATTTTATTTTTTGGAGTAAGTAAGTTTTTTATTAAAATAATAACTTAAAAATCATTCTAAAATAGACCTTTCAAAATCATATAAGCGAAAACTAGAAAGTTCGGTAATGCAACTTGTGTAGTTTCGGTAATGCAACACCTCACAGTTAAAACCTAATTTCCAAAAAATCTTTTTCGTTTCAAAAGCAAAGTTTATATTTTTCAGACATTCGATTTAGTAAATATTACATCCAGCAAAAAAAAATTTCTTAAAAACGTATAAAAAAAAAAATTTATTAAACTTTTTTTTTGAAAACCCAAGTACAAGATTTTTTTAACTAATATATTATATAAAGTTTACTTGAACTCAAAAACCTAAAAATTCCACGATGATATGAAAAATGTCAAAATTTAGAAATGTGGATTTATTTAGTTTATAGCTTGATTTGAAGAAAATGATTAAAAAAAACATACCCGAATGTTATTTTTATGATCCCCATGCATAAACCCTCTTTTTCAATGCATTTGGTAATGCAACACATTTTTTAAAGCGGCACGACAATAATCTAAAATCCTGTGAGCCGATGACCTTGTTGCAATAACGAACAGAGAACCATATACTGATGATGATGATGATGATGATGATGATGATGATGATGATGATGATGATGATGATGATGATGATGATGATGATGATGATGATGATGATGATGATGATGATGATGATGATGAATGTGATATATATATATAGACCTCAGCGGAAAAAAATCAGTGCAAGAACAACTGATTTTTTTCCAAACAAACATGACAAGCTATGCTGGCTGCTCCTCTAAACAGCTTCTTAGGAGAGCTTTGGATTTTTGCGAGAAAAATTGTTTATTAATTACAAAATTTTGGTTTTATACTTGTAACAAGCCCAGGATGCGATGAATTGTGTTTCTAAATAAATGTTGATGTTTGTATCTTTATTTAACAACTAACTTTTAGAGATTTTTATATTAATTTTTAGATTAATTTTTAATTTTTTGTTATATAAAGAAGTTTTTTTTTCATATTATTTTTACTCTAATTAAAAAAGTTTTTAGATGTATTAATGGTGTTTATTGAATTTAATTAATTTTATTTCTTCAATGCTATTTTTTCACGCATTTGCAAAGTGAGCGCAAATTAATAATATGCAAAGACCTAATGATTGTGAATTGTGAATTCATTGGTACTAAATATTGAATTTTTCTCAATTTAGTTTGCTAAATTTATTAGCAAATAAAAAAGGTACAAACTTTAAGAAATTAAAATAATAGGAACTAAAAATAAAATAAAACTTGTTTTGACATTACTTTTTTAAAACTTTTAAAAATAATATCATATGAAATATTTTATAAGTTAATAAAAATATCATATTATTGATGCACAAAAAAAATCAAAAAATATAATAAACAAATTAATTTTATGTATTGTATTAGATTGTTTTTATTTCAGCAAAACTTAAATATTCTTTTCAAACATTTTAAAAGTGTTTGAAAAAGAAAAAAAGCACGCTTTCAAAAAAAAGCAACCGTAATATTTAAGCATGGTTTCTTATATAGTAATTGCAAATGCATTCATTTTAAGTAAATCTTTCCATGCTTTTGTTAATGCATGCAAAAACTATGCTAAAGCATAAATACTATCTTTGATAGCGTAGTTGGTTATTTTACTTAATAGTAATGCTATTAAAAGAATCTTGTTTTAGTAAAATGACTGCATTTTTTATTTTAGTTAAAATGATAATTATACTTTTGAATGAAATATACTTTTGAGAGAGCCATAAATTGCTCCCATTAACAGTTTTAGGGGAGTGTAGGCGAGTGCGAGAGCTAAAGCTCTTGCCAAGGCCTTTATATATATTATATGAATAAATATTATGTATATAGAAAAAAAAGTTCTTCAGAAATATGTCATGTTGGGTCTCAAAAGAAGCAAAATTATAAAAAAAATTTAAAATAATCATTATTTTATAAAAAACAAAGAAAGAAAAATTATAATTAAAATTTTCATTTAAAATGCATATTTTTAGTTTAAAAATGTCATTTTCTAGGCATTGAAATCTAAAAAATATTAATTTTTTATAAAATGATGATTATTTTTGAAATGATGATTATATTATAAAATGATGATTATACTTATAAATATAAATATAAATATATATATATATATATATATATATATATATATATATATATATATATATATATATATATATATATATATATATATATGTCACTTTTTAGGACACATATTATATTGTAAAGGTGATTTCTTTTGAAGCAAAAATGGCAATTTAAAATTTATAACATTATACAAATATTTAACATCAAAAGTTTTTTTAAATTCTGTTTGTTCAATAACCAAAAAATGCATTAAAAAACTTCATAAATTGCAAGCTTTGTTGTATAAAATTAAAAAATAATCAGCTTAAATTATATTGGGCTTATTTTAACTTATAAATTGATACCTGTTTTTTGAATTGTTGTGCAAAAAACATTTTCACCCCATCCCTCAAATGGAGGGTCTAGAATATTACCAGATATCCGAACTCCTCTCCACGCACCACTTGACCCTTTATATTTTAAACCTATTGCGTTTGGAAACTGTGCCTGTATTGTTGATAACATTATAGTTCCATCTTTTTCAGTTGGTATCTCTATAACATCTGTTACATGATCATCATCTGCTACTTTTACATAGCATGGATAAACCTCAGTTTTAGCAACTTCTGTTTCGGATTCCATTTATTTTTGCTTAGTTTTATCTAAAAGAAATCAAATTTTTTCAAAAGAAAAAAATTATGCATGATTACATAACACTTTGGTGCAAAAAATGTGTAGAAGTATAAAAAAAAACTGTTTAACAGACAGCATACAGCAGACAAAACTCTATTTATTAAATTGTACTAATCAATTAAAGAATACTTGAAAATAAATGTTTAAGAATATTTGAAGAAATGCAAAAGATATTTAATTAAAATTTTAAATAAGTATACAGCCGACATGAAAATTGAAACTGTAAGGAACACCAATCGTGAGTCTCACCAAAGCCTCATCAACCATCCAAAACTTTAGACGAATTGACGTCTCGTTTAGAGCCGTGTTGGTGGCGAAAATTCTGGGAATCCAGAAATACAGTCTAAGGCGACGTTGACCAAAATTAAAATCACTTCACGCACTATTAATAATAGGTTGTTCTATTATATTCTATTATTCTAAGGTTATTCTAATATTTATCATACTTTAAAACCAAATCTTGACCGTTTATATTTTATTGCTCATATTTTATTGCTCAATTATTTTATTGCGCGTGACCTTCCAAAAACACAACAAAAAATCATATAAAGCCCATTTTGAATAACCTTTGATCTTCAGAGTAACTTAAATTATTTTGTATGCAGAAAGAAAATGTTTAGTACCTCTAAACCATAAAAGTCTAAGAGCCCTTATCTACGTTCATTTTATAAAAGTTGAAAATTTCTTAGCGCTTGCGTCCAACACAAGTAGGAACGACGGATATTTATATATTTTAAGATCATGGTGGCGTATCCGGCGCCAAAGGTGTTTAAAATAACGATTAAAATTTATGAAACAATAAAGTGTAATTTTATAATAATTTCCGTCGGAGTAGTATTAGAAATCATGTCATCTATTGCTGACACTTATCATGGTGGCAACTCCGTTGCCAGACACCCTTAAACTTAAAGATGTTGAACTGTACTTACGTTAAATTATATAAGTGGAAACTTATGCAGGTTCCTTGGATAATTATTAGAAGATGTTTCTTTATTAGGCTGACACTTTCTACACTTCTAACCCCTAGCTAAACAAACATATCCGTTAGCTATATTGTAAGTTATATATGTAAAAACATAAGAGCGAAAACCTTAGTTGGGCAATTTATTTTATATTAATATTATGTTATATTAACTGAAAACAACTGCTGTTTGATTTCTTGATAAAAGAACTGGTTTCTATTAGCATTTAATAATTATTAGATGAAAATCGTAATAAAATTGTGATAATTATAAAGAAAATGGTTTTGTAAATTTTTTAGAAATAAGATATAAAAAAGTTTAAAAAACTTAAGATAAATACAAGTAAACAAAAATATTATGAGACATTTAGTCTGTCCGTATAGTCAATGTATGAACATATCGATGTGACGATATCTATTTAAATCAGTAGATGTCACATTTAATATATTTAAAGTAGCACAATTAATAATATAAATAGTTTTTAAAGTAATAGTTTAAATTATTAATAAAAAATTAATTTATTGCTATAATTAAAACCAAGCTTTAATAAAATAGAGAAAAATAAATAAAACCAAGTATTAATAAAATAGAGAAAAAAATTCGCCTAAACATTTTTTCGCTTTAACAACCCGCTTTAAGTATACGTATCTGAATCAGTAATGCTGACAAGTTTTACTATTTAAGCAGTTAATAAAATATACTTAACTCAGTTCTAATATAGATTTATGATAATACGCAAGGCCGCCGAGAGGGGGGGACCACCGGACCACAATTCGTCCCGGGCGGCAGATATCCAAGGGGCGCCAAATGAAATATAGGTACCTAAAAATAAAAAAAAAATGTCCTTCATATACATTATAGAGAAAATTTGATTAATAAGGGCGCCAATAGGAATTGCTGTCCAAGGGGGCGTGACAGCTCTCTTGGGAGACGTATTAACTTGAGTATTTTGTAGTAAAAAAATGTCCTTTAATTGTAGTAGTAACAAAAACAATCTATGTTTCTAATGAAACATTGAAATAATGTCAATCATTTTCGAAATTGCGACATAAATATTGTCTCAAGTACAAGAACATTTTTACCTGGTGAATATATTGATAATGGTTATCACAGAGAGTGTTATTAATTACTTTTAAAGGAATCATGAGAAAATACTTTACCTCTGGAGTCTCAAAATTAAAAAAAACAACTTATGAAGCAGTTAAAAAAAACAACAGACAAAGATAATTCAAAGTATCAATTACACAGCCTGGTTTTTATTTTATTTTTCTGCAATAAAGCAACTTTTTAATAATACTTTTTATTTAATTTTATATTGTTTTACTGTACTACTTTAAATATAACTAAAGTGACATCGAGTGACATACATCTAGTGACGTATATCGAGTGACATACATCGAGTGACATACATCGAGTGACAGACATCGAGTGACATACATCGAATGACATACATCGAGTGACATACACTTGAATAGGGGTTGGTGCATTAGAGTGTTCATACATTAAATAAGAGTTTTAGTTTGAACAGTGTATAGTTTAAAAACTGTTTTTAAAAATTTAAGATAAAAATATTTATCTTAAATTTTTTTCCTACTTTATTCCCTAAAAATTTGCAAAATGATTTCCTTTACAATTATCACGGTTTGCTTTTATATTTTTTGAAAAAAGTATTAAAACATCCTTTTAAGTTCATTTTTATCTATCTTAGATTCAAACATTTATTGAATGCTAATAGAAATCAGTGTTTTTTTTTAAGAAACCATACAGCAGTTGTTTCCAGTTAAATTACGTAACTTAGATTTTTGCTCTTTCGTTTTTACACATAAAAACTTATAATATTGCTAACAAACAAGTTGCCTAAAAAAAATCTGCCTAATAAGGAAACATCTTCTAACAGTTACCCAGTTAACCTGTATAAATTTCCACTCTTGAACTATAACGTAAGTATAGTTACAACTTCTTTAAGTTTAACAGTGTCTGGCAAGGTGTCGCCACCGTGTCTTTAAGTTTAAGGGTGTCAGGCAAGGTGTCGCCACTATGATAGATGTCTGGAAATAGAAGACATTATTTCTAATAATACTCGAAAAGAAATTATAAGAAAATTACAGATAATAAAATTTTAGCTGGTATTTTAAAGACCTTTGGTACATATTACCAGTCAAAGCCACTATGATCTAAGCATATAGTTGCACATCATTCCTACTTGTGTTGAACACATGCGCTGAGAAATTTTTAGCTTTCATAAAATAATGTAGATCTGGCAGATGCTAAGGTTAGAACAAAAGTTAATTCTAAATTTTAGCTTTCACTCTAAATTAATTCTAAATTTTAGCCTTCACTCTACATATTTGAAAAGATTTAAAAAGAATAAGACTTAAATTTAATACAAAATTTATGGCTTTAAAGTTTAAAGTATAGTAAAGATTATTTTCTTATTTAAGGTAAGTAAAAAAGTTCTTTTGGTTATAAAACAAAATTGGAGATGAAACAAAGCGATCGAAAGCAACTTTATAATGCATTCTTGACTTCACAATTTTTCTAGCTTCATGAAATTTTGCTTTTAGGGGTGAGAATATTGAAAACATTGATGCGTATATATACGCATAAAAAATAGTTATAAGCAACCGTCTCCCATTGATTAGAGTTCTGGATCAAAACCAAAAGATTCAAAGTTTGATGCAAATTAGCAACATAAGAAAGTGAGGCGTGGTGAATTGCTTTCCGCACTGGTACCGTTAAGCTTTAAGACCGTTAAGCTGGAGCACCTTAATAACCAAATAGAACTTTTTTTTTTTTTGAGGGAAATGTTAACAATAAATCTAAAACGTATTTATCTAAAACATGCAAAAAGTTATTAGAATCATAACTTTAAAATAAGTATAACAAACGCTATTTTTGCATACAAATACAATATATTTACACAAAAAAGCAACAACATAAAAATAATCTTAAAAAAATGTTTAATAGTGTTACCAGAAAACATAATTATTCTTATAAGATTCTTATAAGGTATACCTTAATGGTGTTGAGTTTAGTTTTATCACCTAAATGATCAATAAAGTAACTTTCAAATTATGAAAATTTACTAAATTAAAACCATATCTCAACAGTAGGAAAATTCAATATAAATGATGAAGTAGGGCAGAACCTCAAGGTAAAACTAAAAAAAAAGAAATAAAACAACTAAAAAACATAAAAAATAAATTAATATGCTTACATTATGATATAGTAAAATGTAAAAGTTAATATAACAATATCATTATATTAAAATGATTATGATATGTTAGATTATTAATTGTACTAGTTAAAGAAATCTTTCTTTCTATCAAAAATCAATAGCTCTAGAAATTCAAATGGCGGTACAAATAATATAGTTATATCTTTTAATACAGTATAACAATTGATATCGTTTCCATCACTATCATTCAATACTTTAATACAGCTATAAAACTTAGTTTAATGGTTCTAAAGCTGGCTAGTAGTAAGGTTCCTCGAACTCTATGGTAGCTTTCAAAAAAGCTGAAAAAAATCAGATTATTAACAGTGCCATGATGCCCATGAATGGTACCCCTGTTAATGCTTTTGATGTGCATTGTCAAGGTCACATAAAGGAATAAGTCAAAATGAATCAATTTCTCTTTAAACTTAAATCATGCCTAAATTAAACGAAAATATTAAATATATAAAACCATACCAAATGCCTAACTGATTCAACATATCTTTTACATATATTTATGGTCTGTAAAGTAACTTTCCATCAGTTGAATCTTACCTCTTGCAAAAATCACCAGACTTGCTTGCTATTTGTAAAACTTATTTAAATTCGGCTGTACCTTCTCCAGATCTCAGTGTTGATGGGTACTATTCTTTAATTCACAAAAACTTTAATAATCATAGCTTGGGCTTATACTTACGCATCAATTCACCTATTTGCTGAGAAATTAGTTTTGAACCCCTTGATCATTCTTTTATGTGACACATTTTTTTATGTGACACTATGTGACATTATGTGACACATGTCATGTGACATTATGTGACACTATGTGACATTATGTGACACATTCTTTTATGTGACACTTGGCACATTTTCACACTATCACCTTTTTACTTGTTCTTTATTGTTCTCATTTTTCTTAAAACTGCACTTTTTTAGATTTTGTACTTCTTCTTCGGACTCACCCTATCATCCCACTACTGACTACTACCCTAAAACTGACTGGGATTCTTTTCGTGATTTTTGGGATAATTGTAATCACTTTTTTCATCTTTTTCAAAACAACAACTTTCTTAAGAACAAACGGCTATTTATTATTGCAATAAACCGGTGTAAAAAGTTGTTGTCTGATGCTATCCTCCATTATTCCCA